CCAACCGCAGTGAGAGCATGACAACAAGAGACACTCCATATGCCCATATACATTGTCAATAATGACAGGTATCACAGCGGCATTATCACAGCACATCACACACCCGTAAGCCGCCTATTCGGTACGCAGCGGGCGGTCATAAAAATAATGTATCATCGTGTGACGGTGCTAAAACCTCGCTGAGAGGAGCCAGACACCCTCGGAATCCAAACAAGTGGGTCAACAGTCACTAAAATATCCGTCTTTCGTGAGAGCTCCTAGCAACATTCCCTGAGAGCTCCATAGCCGTTCACCACCGCCTTAACTCGCGATTCGCCAATCGCACGGCTGGAAATTGGATGGGTACGGACCCGGCAAGTCGTGGCTGTTGTAGCCTTTCAAACTGACGAATTTTTAATGGCTTACGTCATCTATGACTAAGATTAGGTATTGCGAAAACGCATATCTTCTGGGTGGTTTATCTTCTCGGCGGAAATTTTTCGCACCGAAGTAGGCTGCACGCCTGAGTGTCTTTAACGGTCAAATCCCTCAGTCCATGTCACGGCAAATGACGTTCATGATCGGATTAGAAGAGGTTTCATTGTCCGATAACTTCTACTGGTGTCATTCATTGCAGAACAGCGTTGGACTGCTTAGTCACTTGTAGACGGCACATTCACCTCCAAATCATCCAGTTCGTGTCAGACCATCAACTGCCGCATCTACTGAGATCGGACATAAGTCCTCAGAACGCTCCCAAACGGGTCGATCGAGTTCATGCTCGAGAGCACGTGGCCGGCTGCACACACAGAGCCTGACTTCCTCCATCAATATTGTCGTCCACATTCTTTTCTTTCAAACGGTGTTGGTTCGGCGCCGTTGCGACGCCTGACTGCCAACGCTGACGCAAAGTAACGGATAGCCAGAACCCAAACAATGTCACGTAACCCGTCTAAATCCCTCAGCAGCACTCGCCCCACCACCGATGCGCCCCGTCCCCAACCCCCAGTAGGATACCTCCTGCCGATCAGAACGGTGCCCGACGCACCATATTCAGTCCCAACCATCCCGCCAGGGCTTTTCTCGGCGCCCCAGAGGACATCGTGCCCGCCGTGAATCCCCAGCTGACCGTCTGATGCCACTAGCAAGGGCACATCTCGGAAGGAGCACATCAACCACCTCCCACCACGCAACACGGCCATGGTGGAAGAGATTCTCGAAGAGAATCTCTTCCACCATGAGAGAAGAGAAGAGAGTCTAGAGAAGAGAAGAGAGTCTCGGAGCACAGGCGGCTGACGTCCACAGTCACATCTAGAGGCCATTATTATGGGGCAAAAGGCCCTCTATAAGAGCAGCTTTTCCTGAGAGCTAAGATCACTTGCAACGGTAAACGACCAGTGAATCAAATTTACTTTACACGACACCTTGCAGAAGCGCTGCCCATCACAGTGTTTTACGAATGTTTTACGATTGCACAAAACGAATAATCCTGTTTTAGCGGTGGTTCGGTTCTCTCAGCCGCGGTTCTCTTATCTTGCATACCGGCCTCCGGTTATTCACAGTTCCCTGAGTGTCCTCGTGCTGGCTACAAGGGCAGCCCACCTTCCCGCAACCTGTACCAACACTCACACAGTTCGCGTGAAACATTCGACCGGATTCCGTGGAAGCCACCAACACCCAACGCCAAGCAGGAACAAGCCAGTCGGCAATACGCGGATCCCTTTGAACGCCTCGTCCGCGGAACCGTCGGACTCGATGCCGTGTTTTTCCGTCGGCCGTCGGCCGGCAGTTCGACGGAGCGATGACCGGCCGATGCCGGAGAGGCCGCCCGGTTCGGATCCCCTCTGGCCGCCACAGCCGCCTGGCGGGGCAGCACAGCTGCTCCGACCCGGCCCCGGAGCACCCGTGCCCGCCTGACGCAAACGGCCGCTCCAGCAGCCTGCTCGACGCCGCGACACGGTGCGCGAGCCTTGAATTTGTCGCCCGCCGTCACTTTCGCGGCGCCGTTTCTGATGCAACACGGCTGGCCGTGCTGCGCCGCGCGGAGCCAGTTCACTTGCTCCAGCACAGATCCGCTAAACGGCTGGTTGGCTCGAGATGCCAGCTATCGACGCCTGACGCGCAGAATCAGTTACAGAATCGCCTCAACCCATGCTGGAAGAGGCGGGGGAGGGGGGGGGGGGGGGCAGCCGTTTTTCCCACTGGCGTGCCACCGGAAGTGACCCCAAAGCCCCTTGTCTATTTTCAAAACCAAACTTGCTGCGACAAAGTAGAGGGTGGCCTGGGATGGCTCGTGTATAGTTACAGCCGATCGCGATTCTTAAGCGTCGACATAAATGACCTATGACGGGTGAAAACAGGTCACTGGGGCAAACTGAGTGAAATTGGCCTTCACTCTTTTTTCATATCTGCGTGTGTAACAACGGAGGGGAAGACGGTGCTGTACAGTGAATCAGGTAGCTACCAACTCATCGGTGCATGTGACGCGTTACAGGTCACATCAGGTCATACAGGTCAAACGTTATGCGCTTCCGCCCCGCCCATTATTTCCAAAACCTAACATAGCGAAAATGCCGCGACAAACGCCGCTGGGAAGCGATTGCAAGCCGCATCAAACATCGGTTGAGGCGGCCAAAGATGCATGAAACCACAGATCGCCATCATAACACGAAAAGCCCTCAATGACGGTCATTTCTTTGCATTTAAATCATCCACTTTCATGGTCGTGTATTAAAGTGACGACGCAGAAAAATAGGAAAAATACCGAGAATACTTCGCCACGAATAGACTTTACCAAATAAATCATGACAACGAATCATGACGAGACATGGAGGAGCGGTATGGACAGCAAGCGTATTTATGTTGTAACGACGGGTCATGAAAAGTTGAGCATCATTGCGATATTTACTCAGCGTAATTGTACTAGCTTGGCAACTGGCAAACTGAACCTGAGCCCATTGCATTTGACACAGTCGACACCACTCTGTGCGGTAAATAATCAGATGCCACAAGTCGATTGCGGACACCTATTCTGTAACGTACCAGATCGGACTCCTTCATACATAATGCAGCCGAAATCTCCATAAAGAACTGGAGATTCACGGAAAGGATCTTGAAATTGTAAAAATATATAGAGAGATGTTTTGCTCATCTGCTTAAAATCTAATCACCAAACGCCCAGTGGTACACCAGTCAGAAGCTGACAAACGGTATCGTGTTGCCGGCCGGCCGTCAGACAGCTAAGACTTGCGGCCGGGCTTTGCAACTGGAGAGTCGCAATAGCCTGTCGTGCGGAGTATACTAATCAGCACCCGTAATACGATCACGCTGAGGGAGACGTTATACCCCAGACGAGAGCGCATGCAACCGTGCGATCTCAGTCGTGTTGTGTTCTCAGCACCGCCTTAACAGACAGATTGGGTCCACGTTGTATGCTTGGGTGCAGACTGTATGTGGTCTATGTTGTCGGTAGCTTCAAGTTTTCTCAGTCTCAAGCTGAGCCCTGGGACTGGAAGCAGATGCAGCTGTGCATCCAGACTGCAGCGACGCGGGACAAATAATTATTTGCAAGCCGAAGCCTGCAGAAGACTGCACCCCATTACCTTCCACCGCAGCAGGCGGGGGCCTTCACGAGGGTCCCAAAACGGAGCTGCCGTGCCTCAGCCAGCGAGCAAGTGCAGCGTCCGTGGCAAAAAAAAAACGGCCATGGAGACTACTCCGTTATTGATATCACACTAAAAGGTGTCATTTCCCACCCAAAACCTTGAACATAGACGCCACAGTATTACACTCATGCCGTTGCGAGGACTAATAAATGTACACTATCAGTTTATTGTCTACCCACACCATGCCATTCGCCTAACACCGTGTTGATTTGGTCGGAGTTGTGCAGAAAGCCCTTCCTACCGCATTCGCATCACCGACGAAGCCCGCAGCGGCGCAGATGGAGTCTTGCGGGAAGCGAGATTCCATCTTGTGAAGCTTTCCTCCACGCTTGGGACGTTACGCAGAACGCAATATGTGATTTTAAAAAGACCTGTGGGACCCTGGGCCCAGGAAGTCTGTTTTTTAACCAAGGAACCAAAGGTAAAGATCCAGCGTGTCCGGCACAGTGGCATTTGAACACAGCTGGACCGATGCGCTGCGCGACTTCGAGCATATTCGCACAAACAAGCTGAGGGTACGGAGCTGTGCATGATATACAAAATATATGCATACATGTTTTATGCCGGGAAACAGCATTCAGCTCGACCATTCTGGAAACAATCGGCTAGCTGCTTACTGGAAACTGACATTCGGCCAAATGCACTTCGATTCCTCGCACGGCTGCCCGGCAGCCCCCCTACGCTGGCGAGGATCGACTACGGATTCAGGATGTCAGCACTTACCGCTCTCTGAACGGTGCAATAGTGCTGGTAGCACAGCGTCCTCTGCAGGTGTCCAGCACCTCGACACGTGAGGTGAGGTCTGGACGCGGCCGCCCTCAGCGTCACTCCCAGCAGACGGCCAAAGCTGGTCATCATGTAAGCCCTCAAACACTTCGCGTTTCACACACAAGCTTCACAAAGCTAACGCCAGATGCACAACCCTCCCGCACTAACCCTTGCTATATAATGCCGCCGCCAGACAACGCACGCGCGGCCCCACCGGTACCCACCCCACCGCTCTGTTTAGGTACGATAGCTGGCGTCCCAACAGTTACCAAGGCGACAGCCATCACCCGGACTCCACGAGTCTACTGGCTTCGGTAGAGCTGCTGCGACCTTGGATACCCGTCTGGCGATTGGTCGGTGCCTCCGCCCCCTTCCACGTGCTTTTTGCTGTTCCGATTGGTTTCGAGAGCTTTTATGTTCGTCAGGCTTCTGTGAAATGTCTCACGCAATGTTGTTTCAACCAAGAGTTCTTTCCTCAATGGATCGTCCCAAGGAGTTGAACATATTCAATGAAAAGCCACCGCGATGGCCCTCGGCCACACGAGCAGCACGCCCCTGACACCTACCGGCAGGACTTGATAACAACCGTTGCCGGTCTGCGAGAGGTGCTGTGAGCGGCGTGGCGCGGTGGTGGCGGTGAGGCGAGTGGTGAGGATTGGGTTTGAGGGAATCGAAAGGCCTGTTTCGGCTCGGTTTTGTCACTTGGGAGTTTCTGGAGAAGAGTGGTCTTATCCAGCTTAATAGCGAAGTGTTGGGAGACCAGAAAGCCGTCCTTCCGAAATGGCTATCCCTCGCTTGGCGGCTAGGCTCCTATGGACCCGAACCAGACAGATCTCCGCGCTGCCGGCAGTAGCTGCGTTGCGAGTTCAGCGTCCGGTCACGTTTCCACAGGTAAGTATTTCTTGGTTTCGTTAATTCCAGCGCAAACGATTCTTGTGAGCAGGGCGAGAGGCGCAACCAAGACTTGCTTGAGTGTGGGCGGAGCTCGCTGCTTGACGCATCACGTCGATTTGTTACTTTCTGTCTAAAGCCATCTACGGTGACAAAGGGGAAAAATCCTCGTTAAGGAAGGTCTCCTTTATCTGGATATGTCCTTGCATGCGATGTTAATAGTCGAATGTACTTCATCGGGCGTATTTCGTGAGCATGCGTGTTATTTATTCTGATTGGAATAGGTACCTTTCCGCAGGGGCATAGCTAAGGAAAGGGGTTGGAGCTCGGGTCCTCCCTTAGTCTCGAGATTGTTCGTTTTTTTTCGTATTGGATGGCCCCTAACAGAAAGCTAAAAATCGGCGGAATGCATACACAGCGAGTCCCCTTCGCACGCACGTTTAGAAAGTGCTGGCTGCGTCCCTGCCTTCGCGGGTGGCCCCACCGTCCACATTTTAGTGTGCCAGCTCTGGGGAAAATACCGGGGAGGAATAAAACTGGTCTAAACCATCGGCATGCGTGTTGAAGGCGGTTTCTGAAACTGCCTTCGGTGTTCACGTCATGAGAGGGTTCCTATCATAGCTCACAAACTTGCGCGCGATACCAGCATCGAACTTTATCATACGACACGCACCGTCGCCCAACTGTCCGCCAACCGATATGAACACCTGTATTCTACGCCCTTAACTATGATAACTCAGCTGTAGACTGGGGAATAATGACCTTGAATCCGGTCGAAGGTAACCGAGCTGCCAAGCGTAGGTGCTGGTAAGTTGGCTGCAGACGACTGATCCGTACCTAGGTGATCAGTCCTACCATAGGTGAGCGACGTTGCAGTATCAGCGGTGGTAGGTGCCGAACTAGCACACGCTGCACCTGGGCGGTCCTTGTGCTGGTAACCCCGGACCTTTGTCAGTGCCAGGAAGTGAAGGACTGCATTAGAGACCCGAAAGTCGAATCTAGTTTCAATGTCGGGCAAACCTTGTCAGCTGTGGATTGGTTGCCCTTGAATCCATGGCTAGCGCTGAAGCGGTGCGGCAGCTACGGCTTCAGAATCTACGGCGTCTTGGATCGTCATGAGCATTCGCTGGATGCGTGAACCACATGTGACGAATGGTTGGTTGCATCAGTCTGTTCAAGGGTGCTCAGAATTCTCAAAATATGCAATGGCTTTGATGTAACGGCGTGTGAAAATGGAGCAGTCAGCGTGGTGGGGATAAGTTGCACTTCCAGGTGCTCTGTGACGAGTGAAAGCCCCAGGTTGGTGTTTGCATGTTTCAAAGGCACAGGTGTGAAGCGTGGAGTGTCTTAAAGCGGTCTCTTCCATGTATCATCATACTTGAGACTGTATCGTTCCAAGAAAGTTGAGGAGACTGGACTGGCCATAGCCTGCGTTAGGCTCCCTAGTTGGTATCCGGCACGGGTTAAAACCTGCCGCTGCCGCCTGGCTTCCCTGTTGCCGCGAAGTGTACCGGTTTCGCCAAGTGAACTGATCCAACCCGTACTGGCTCGGCCGGTGAAGTCCGGTACGTACGGCCGCAGCTGCCCCCACCCCCCCCTCGCTACCGGCCCGCCGCACCACAAGTGCGGAACAAAGCGATGTGTCGGTCGAGGCGAACGGACGTTCGAACTTGGCGGCTTCGTCGGCTGAGTGGCGCCAGCGACGGCGGCGACAGTCGACACGCAGTGAACGGCGACTAGGCGCTGCACCTGCGACCTTTCCTGGCGAATCTGCTGTGTTCTGTGTTTGGCTGAACGATGTTGAGGCTGTTATGTTGCAAGTTGCCCTCCATTGAGTAAAAGGTCTCGAACTTTAAGTTGGCAAGCGCGTACATCTGTAGTTACCTTAAATATTTGACAACTGAAAGAAGCCGTTGGTATCATTTCCATCTGTGGCGCATTTGCGCGCTTCGGAAGGTGTGTGCTTGTTCATCTTGATCCCAATACCACCGTATGTTGACCCGGGTGGATCCGACATCGAACCTCGAGTCGGGGTAATGCCAGGTACCACGTCAGTAAGTAGAAAATCAGGCATAGATCGAGGGAAAGTTCAATCTTCGCGGTCTTTGAAGCACCATGACCTTGCCCTCTCCCAGCCCTCCCCACATGCATCGGCTGTTAACGGTATCTTGTAGCGTTGCGACTTGTATGTGAGCTGCCCAGACGGTAGTGCTGCGTGACGTATGAACCTTCGGTTTCGCAACGTCACAAAGAGCGGTCAGGCAATAAACACGGGCTGGACGATGATGAAACTTCATCGTTGTTTTCATAAACGCGATCCGGGTTCGAATTATTTGATATGGCTCCCGTCTGGCAGTGAATATCAGTCCTCGACACTCCCGCTCCCGTACCTGCCGGGGGGGAAGGGGGGGGGGGGTTCCAAAACGGGACGGCATGTCAGTCAAGAACTAATCGTGTTGTTGAGAAAACTAACGGGTGCATTTTACCGCAAGGCTGGTTCCTATGTGTCCCACAAGCTTATTGTTACTGCTAAGCTCGGAGCTCTGTTATTACAAATTCTGTCGGCGGAACTTTAGGCCGATAGGATTTGATTCGTGAGCCCTAACCTGGGCCTCTGGCACCCCGCTGTATCGGATTGTTTTGAGTATGTCTTATACGCTGCAATGAGTTCTCATGGGGCTTATTTCAAAAGCAAGTTTTCAGAAAGACTACAAAATAAATGATGACCACAGATGGATAAACCAAATTAGATCTTGTTGAGAAGAAACATGTGTTGATGCTGACTGGTTTTGAGTCCGATGTAAAATTTTCGAAATTGAAAAAAAATTGTGACCTGCAAGAAAATCTGAGTTATTTGGGAAGAATTAGAGAAAACTGGCTTCCAATCCGAAGGCCGGACTGGAAGATAGTTCTAATGCAAACACCAACGTGCCTGGACGTACAGGGCGTGCGTACAGATGTAAATGACTTACTCTTTTGCAGTTTCTGTTCAAACTAAAAAATACCATTTTGCTTTGAGGTGAGCTTACGTCAAAACAGAAGCCCTTCCGACCCGCAATCCAATGGCTGGTGCCACTGAATTATAATGTAACGGCATGGACAGCTGCATCGGTCCAGACATGCGATGGACCATTCAGATAGTTCGGGTCTGGAATTACAGGCGTAAGGTCAGCAGTCGCTGGCAATGTACGGCGCATGTCCGGCCGCTTCGCAGAGGCGAAGCACAGAGCAGCGAGACGAACCGACCGCAGGGAAGAGGCAGCGACGGCCATTTTGAGGCCCGGCTTGCGCGGCGACGGCCCGGAGTGAGGTGATCAGAGCCAGTCACGTAACTGCTCCGATGGTAGAAAATAGGTCATGGTTTTGCATCACGCTGATAGAAAATTAAGTGTGCTAATCAGAATAGCCCCTTCGTTTTTTGTGGTAGGCATGTGAATTTTAAGTTTACTGCAAGCCATGAATGGATCATGAAGTTAGGACGTGACAAGCGAAAGTGATGCGAAACCTGATATCGGTCTCACGGACGGAGTAATTCGGACTATAATTATTCGGACTATTGTTCTCACTCTATTGTTTGGAGGGCAGGTCAACTTAACATAAGTCGACAAAGGTGCGATGCTGTGTTAATCGCATGGAAGAAGCCGTTTGAAGGCAACTAATCGCATATGGGCTAGAGTTGCTGCTTTGCGGCTTGAACGCCCTCGTGCTAAAAGATGGCTGAAGGCGTTTTAAGCGAGTATTTCGAGTGAAATGACGGGTTTCTGTGGGCTTTTAAAGCACAAAATTCCCAAAAAGGTTTTGCGTATCTTATAAATCGTTCTTTATGGTTTAATTGGAGCCGAATCGTCTGCAAAGAATGGAGCTCTTAACAGATGTATGAACTGACTCATAAGCAGCTATATTATCTATATTTTAGTACTAGCCATGTCACAATCATGATCAGACTTCTCGCAGCTTAGCCTGGTATACGCTGTTAATGACGGTTATGTCGTACCACTACAAAGACGTCAATAATGCATGAACAGAATGGTCGGAGGCTGCACAGCGAAATCCGGAACAGGCAGTTGATGATAGTTTTGATTTTTTAGCTTGATATATCGATCAAAATATGTTTGTTCGGATTACATACACCGGGTTGAAGTTAACACAAAAATTATTCTGGAACCAGCTGCATAAAATACGTCTGTTACAGTCTTGCCTCCAGTGCCTCAGTAGTGCCAGTCAGGACTTGAACAAGAAGGCTAACAGGGTCTTCAGGTCGTTGTGATCTTTGGTGCTTGATTAGACCATATCGTAAATAACCCCGCAACACCTCGAAACAGCTCACCGTGTTTCAACAGACAAAATATGTTACAGACCCTTGTGCTCTTCCTGCGTGTACGCCAGCACACTATTCGTGGCCCTTTCACTTTTGACTTGCATGTGTCATCGTGGATTTTTTGGTACTACCATATCGAAGTTGTCCTCCCTATAACTATCAATGCACATTTGTCGCATTTGGTTAGCTGGCAGCTGATGTGGCTCCTGTTCATGTTTGCCTTTTGGTAGTCAGTTTTATACCATTTATATAAGGGTCACAATTTGAAGCCCGGCCGTGGGTCGTTCGCCACCGTGAAGACCAGTAAAAACACAGGAAAATAATACTCTGGCAGAAGTGGCAACACTCTTAGAACGAGGGGTATGGGAATGCGTGCTTAATCAAGTGCAGTGTATGTGTCGATGTAGTATGGATTAGTTTAGATGGATTAATGGATGGTTGCATGGCGTTTTAAAATTAGCGTGTTATGCAAAATTGCGCCCAAATATAGCATAAGGCTTACGAGTTTAAGCAGGCATTTCCAGAACCATCTCCTTGCGAGGCGTGGCGGGTTTGAAAAGGGAATTGGGCTGCTGAGGGGGAGGGACGGGTTTTCAGAATCGTAAAAAGTGGCACCTCATTAACCTTACTGGGCCAGCGACATATGGAGCCCAACAGCCGTAAGGTCATAACAAGACCAGCC